GGGGGGGAGGGAGAGAGAGGGACTCACAGAAAGGTAAAGACAGAGAGGAAGGAAATGGCGAGTACAATGTGAGCCCATCGCCAGCTCCGAAGCATTCCAGTCCGCAGAATGTTCTTATGCTCATCTCTGTGGAACTCCAGGCTACTTGTGGAGGTAAAAATCCAGTTCTTCATCCGAAGCACCACCCAAAGGCGAAGTCAATCTCTACTAGGCAACTATACTCAACATGAACATGTAACATGAAGAATGCACGACCATATTTGGAGACATTTTTGTGCCGTCGCATGGAAGAAAGAAGTCGAGGAGTATCACGCTCATCTTCCATAGCAACAGAGAGCACAGCAGGGGTGTCCTGTGCGCGTTGCACATTACGCTTACTTGCCCTGCCCCTCGCGCCGTCGAGGGAGCGGTTCTGTGCAGGCGAACCCTTATCGGCACGATCCAGACGGACGCTCTCCAGCCACACGGAAGATCGTTGCAACTTCGACCCTCTACCACTTGCTACGTTTGTGATGACGACTGTGTAGCACGTGACTCAACTGCTGTGCGACTGCAACCACACGATGCCCGAAGAGAAAATAGAGACGAAGCTTACTCCAAGTTTTCGTGCCGCCGCCGCTGCCGCCGCCGGTGCTGTAAACGACCACGCCGACCGCGAAATAGGCATCCTTCATGTACGTCATGTGTGCTTGTCTCCGGCAAGAAAGCTTCGTCGGGGGCATTCAACAGGCTCCGCTCGATGCTCGCATCGACCGGGCGCTGCTTCACTTCAGACAGGCGTCGGAGCGGGGAATCAGTGAGTCGAGCGCGGAACTTGAGCCGTCCTCATGCTATGACGCTTACGAATGCGTCATTTATGTTGCGCGTGAAATTACAGCAAGTGCCAGACTTCCATTTCCGTTTGGACTGCTGACACGCCAGCGTTCCGATTCTGCAGCTGCCATAGGCCACCCATTTCATCCTTTTCGTTTCACTTGGATTCAAAGAATTCATCGCATTCTCCGCGCGGTCCGATTCTCTCATTTTGCCACAGCTTGCTATGCTCTTGCACTCTCGTTCCCCACGCGCACACACACGTTCGTTCGACAGCCGAGCTGCCGCACCAATGCTCGCTTAGTGTTCCGTACACGCTGTGCTTTCCGACAGAACATTACATAGCAGGCGATACTTTTCGATGCATGCATAACGTGGCTGTATTCCATGTATGTATTCCTTTTTCCATTCCTGCCGTAAGTAGTGTGACGTGCTTTTGACATCCGTCGACAGTAGTAGTGTCATCTTCTCTTTTGAAAGCCTACCAGGTAGTTGGAGAGTGGCGGTGTGAAGTGCCTGGATATATTTTTATGTGGTATTTCCAGCAACACGCCGTGGGCGCTGTCTCTTCCAGTGTATTACATTTCAGTGGGGCCATCCCGTATCTCCAACCTTTCCTGCAGCTTGTCAAGGTCTGGCGACGGCTCTCTCTCCCTCCCTCTCTCTCCCTCCCTCGCTCTATCTCCACATAGTGCAATGGTCGCCCACACACACTACTCTCTCTCTCTCTCTCTCTCTCTGGCAGCTCACATGCAGTACGTCGAGACCTCTCGCACACTGCGTTTCTCACGGAGTAGTACAAAGTTTCTTTTTATGTTCGTTTTGTCATGTACATCCCCGCTCAACGCTAATGCTCGCCTGCCCACCACCCACAGACGATAGTAAACCTCCACGATTAGCAGTTCTCGCGTGTCCAGTCCGTGGACTCCATTCTCGTTTTTCAGTGCTCGCGACACGTATTCTACTGCCGAGGACCTTT